ATTCCTGGGGCGCTGTAGCCTTGGAACCATAGGGCAGAGCTGGGGCAGAGAAATTATTCACTCAGGCAGGTGTCACAGGGCTGGGGCGGTCATGGGGCCACAGACTGCCCAGGCTGACCCCATCATCTGCACAGGAGGCTCTAATGAGGCCAAGGCTGTGTGCTCGTGACGTGCAATAAATATCCGTCAATGGGAAGATGGAGAGGTTGAAGCAAACAGAGGCCTCTGGGTGATGGTGGGGCTGCACGTCATGGAAATCACCTCTAATTGGGGTGTTCCGGGGGGTCTGTGTCCTAAGGCTGTTTTCTTAGTCCTCCCACCCCCCACTGTGACTTTTTCCATGTTTGCTCATCCACCGGCATTAGTTTTCTGGGCCATTAGCCTAAGCAGACCTTGCCGGCCCTGCCCCCTCCTCACCATATGGCCCCCAGCACTGCCCCAGTCCTGCAGGCCCCTCAGACAGGAGGGGTGCAGGAAGGGGTGGGCAGCCCGGGCAGGGTGCATCTCCTGCCTGGTCACTTGGAGGGGGGCAAAGGGACTGGCAACCCCTCCGGCCATCTGAGGGTCCCCAGGCCCTGAGGGCTCCTTCATGAAGGTCCGCGGAGCCTGGGACGCAGCAGGCAGGACTCTGTTACAGAAAGTCCACTCACTGAGGGTCCTTGTCTGTGTCCCTTCCCCTCTTGGGGACCGGGCAAGCCTGTTCAGATTTAGACTCTGGCCCATTTATCGAGCACATTATGCTGCTGAGTGGACTTATTCACTAAGGTGTGCTGGGCTGAGAGGGGAACTGAGGCTCAGGCAGCTCCCCTCAGCCTGCAGTTCCCGGGGCCCAGGGGGCCTTGCCCTCCCTCTCTCCACGCACTTGCCAGGCAGGAAACCCTGGAGCTGAGCTGAGCTGAGCTGAGCAGAGGAGCTTATTCTCCAGGGCTCCAGGCCCCAGGGGCAATTTAATTTCCAGCCAGGCCTGGTGGCGCCTTCTCGAATCATGGGGGAGGGGGAGGGGGTCTCATTACCTTGGAGCTGCTTTTATCAGACAGATTTACAGCCTCATGAGCACGCTTTCCAGCCCCGGCCCCCCTCTCCAGGGCGCCGGGAGGAGAGTAGAGGGTCATGAATCAGCCCCAGGAGCAGATTCATGGGCTGGGGGCTGCCAGGGCAGCTGGAAGAGGGGGCAGGACAGGGGCTCCGACTGCTGCACGCACCCCCTCCCCCCACCCACCCTCACTAACACAAACACTCCATAACTCACACATGGGCCGAGCTGTCACGATAACTCACCCAGGAGAAATGAGGCCGGAGCGGCCCCAGTGAGGGAGACAGACACATGGAAACAGGCCCCAGAGGCCTGCGCCGTGGGCTGGGAGGTAGGGACGTGGGTACACACAGGTGGGCTGCGAAACACAGACCCCCAGAACCCACCCCAGGGCAGCCTGCAGCCAGTCGCAGCACAGAACCCCAAAGGCCATGCCAGAACCACACTTGAATGTGCATGAGGGTGTGCCAGTGCATGCACACACACGTGCAGAGATGCACACAAATGCACACTCACGCTGGCGCACAGCCTGGGAAGGATGAAGAAGCAGAGCCACGGGCTCCCTCTGGACAAAGAAAGGAAACTTTGCCCTGAGGGGTGAGGTGGGGACACCCAGGACTACCAGGGCACACTCAACCTGACTTCCATCTAGTCTTCCCTCTTCCCTCCTCCCGCCATGAAGCCTGGAGTAGTCTGGAGTCCAGGGCTAGACCCCGTAGGGAAGAAGCAGGAGGGGCTGGGGCTGTGATCCACGTGCCCCTAAGGGATGCTGGAGCTGAGCCCTCCAGAGTAGGCCTGCCAGGGCTTCAGAGGCTCAGCCTGCAAGCTCCCAGAATGCATTGCCTGGAGAATGAGTGGCCCAAGTGAGCCGTGGGCTGTGTCCTCGCCATCTAGGGCCTGGCTCCATATGCTTGAAAAGGCTGCAGCCTGTGACAGGCATTGGTACTGCAAAGCCTCTGAGAAGTCCCGCAGTAAGGACACACCTGCCTTCCTAGGCCAGCTCTCCCCAAACCAGCTTGGCAGCAGAGCCTTTTCTGGGAGGGATGTTAATCGACCAGCAGAAACCCATGTCCCTATGATTTCTCCTTCTCCCATCTCCCATCCAAGTGGCGCTGGCTCTGCCTTCAAGGCTCGTGGCTTCTGGTAAAGGCCCAGCAGAGGTAGGAGACGGAAACCAGTGCTGGACCCCACTCACCTGGCTTATAGGACTGGAGCTTCCCGTGATGGGGCTTCTGACTGTAAAACCTGGACAATCCCAATGGACCAGTGGGTACCTAACCCAGCCCCATGCCCTGGTGGCCTCAAGCCCAGACCAAACTGCTCAGTCAGAGGGTGTTTGCCCAAGGATGCCCCCACAGGTACTCTTGGCCCTGACACCCACCATGCCCACTCGACTTTCAGAAGCCCGTGTGAACTGCTCCGTCCACCCGCTGCTGCTGGAACACTCACCCTCCTGCCCCAACCTCTATGCCAACTGGCTGGTCATCCTCCTGCTGGTCACCTTCCTGCTGGTCACCAATGTGCTGCTCATGAACCTGCTCATTGCCATGTTCAGGTGCCCTCTTGTCCATATGCAAACTGCCCCAGTAATCCAGCTCCCCCACCCCTGCCTCAAGGTGGGGAGACTCCAAGAGTCAGTTCCAAACACTGGCTCCCCTTCTGGCCAGGCCTGGAGTGTAGGCAGAGGGAGGGTCTGAATCCGTGGGCAGCTCGCTCTCAGATCCCCCCAGCCTGGTCCAGCAGCAGCAAGAGAGAAGCCCCAGGAGGTGGTGCTGCCCTGGCACCGAGAACCCTGACTTTCCCAAGCCTCTACCCCACCTGGCTCCACAGGCCACTCTCTCCACTCCGGGAAAGTGGGCTTGCATCTGCCAGGAGGGGCTGGGGGCTCAGAGCTGTATCAAGAATATCCAGCTTGTCCAGGAGAGTAAGAGGGCTGGAGGGGACTCCAACAAGTGGGGCCCCCAGACATACTCTTGAGGCAATCACAGGAGGTGCAGGGGCTCGGTTTCTGAAAGGGTCAAGCGCAGGGAGGCCAGAGGGATGAGGCGATGAGGCCCGCTGTGCATCCCTGCAGTTACACGTTCCAGCTGGTGCAGGGCAACGCCGACACTTTCTGGAAGTTCCAGCGCTACAATCTGATCGTGGAGTACCACGGGCGCCCCGCCCTCGCGCCCCCCTTCATCCTCCTCAGCCACCTGAGCCTGGTGCTCAAGAGGGTCTTCAAGAAGGAGGCTGAGCACAAGCGGGAACGCCTGGGTGAGGCCACAGGGGCCGGATGTGGTCACTCAGAGGTAGTAAGAGGGCAGGAGGGAGAGGCCTTGGCTCCCCTCAGCCCTGGGGCTCCCTGGGCAAGCTGGCACAGGTTGAACTCATCTCCCTGCAGCCTGGAGCCCCTCTGTGGCACTGTCCTTGCCTCTCCATGTTGTGCCCCGCCAGGCTGAGGCCCCTAGAGATGACTCCTGCTGCCCAGCACCAGCTGCACCTGCCCCGGGGCTCCCCCATCCCACCCTGGGCCTCTGCCTCTGCCTTGAGCAAAGCTCGCTGTGGCTCCCGCCTTCCCAGAGAGAGACCTGCCAGACCCCCTGGACCAGAAGATTGTCACCTGGGAGACGGTGCAGAAGGAGAACTTCCTGAGCAGCATGGAGAAGAGGAGGAGGGACAGCGAGGGGGAGGTGCTGCGGAAAACTGCACACAGGTGGGGGCACTGGTTCATCATCGTACACAGGGGTCAGGCTGCCTTAAAACTGGCCCACCTGACCTCACCGGAGGGCGATAGAGGATAAGAGCTGGGAAACGGAGGCTAGAGGGGCAGGGACACGACCAGGTCCCCTTGGCCCCTGATCTGGGCAGGGCTCTGCTGGGGTCTTGCCTGCCTTGCAGTTGAGGATCGTGGCCCAGTCAGCGTGGTGCTCAGTCCTTAGCCCTCCCTTCAGGTCCCCGTGCCTAGCGCTGCCAGTGGAAACTGTCCTGCCCTGTGCCCCTGCTTGCAGGGCTCTGCTTCCCAGGCAGGGAGACTGGGCTGTGCCCTGAGTAGTCCTGGTGGTGCCAGCCTCAGGTCCCGAGACAAGGGAAGAGTAGGGAGGGAAAGAACCAGAGCAGTGCAGACGAGCCCCAGAGGGCTGTGGGGGTGGGGGGATGGGGAGGCACCCTGCATGGGGAGTGCCATGTGGCCAATCGGCTGCCCGACTGCTTCTGCCACAGAGTGGACTTCGTTGCCAAATACCTCGGAGGGCTTCGAGAACAAGAAAAACGGATCAAGTGTCTGGAATCCCAGGCAAGCGAGAACTGACCTTGCCCTCCACGCCCACCTACACCTTGACATCTACACTGAGAGCCCCACAGGGCAGGGCAGGGCTCCCCCCATGCCTGCCCCTCCCCAAGTCATTGAGACCTGAGACGGATCCTGCATCTAAAGCCCTCACTGCCCACTCTGCACCCACCATCCTGAAGTCTCACCTCTGCCTTCCTTTGAGTTGTGGCCCCAGCGGGGGCCATGGGACAGCAGGGGCCCTAGAGGGAAGGGGGCAGGTAGGCAGTGCCCCTTTCCCTGTTTTCCTGAGAGCTCTGGGCTTGGCCCTTATCCTCCTCTTCCAGGTCAACTACTGCACAGTGCTCCTGTCCTCCATGGCCGACACGCTGGCCCAGGGCAGCGCCTACTGGAGTAAGCCCGTGTTGGGGAGCAGGGTGAGGGTGGCCTGGTAGCCCGCTCTACAGCTAGGTCTGGGGCAGGTGCAGGGCATCTGGCCACGCTGTGTGGTCTACCTTGTCCACCTGCCTGGGGTCTCTGACAGCTCTTGGCTAGCTACGGTCCTGAGGCTGTGTAGGTGCCACCTGTCAGAGACCTGCCTGGGCTGAGGTGCCAGGTCTTTGTTCACTGTCTCCTGAGGCTCTGCCTGTGGCTGGCCCTTCAGGGCTGTCACCTCAGCAGGCTCTGGGATCCCAGCCTGCCCTGGTCTGCTCTAGAGGGTCCCATGCTAAGGAGGGCCACCATGTCCTAGCCCTCAGAGCCAGCTACCACCCTCTCCCCAGGCCTGCCTCAGCTGGTACCCAGCAGCTGAAGGGGGTCTTCCTCCCCAGCAGGCTCTCGGAACTGTGGCACTGGGAGCTGGCAGGGCCCTGCTGACCATGGCAGCAGCTAGCCCATGCCGGGTGCCCTTGGATGGCTGCTGCTTAGCCTTCTGTGTGCGGGCCTGCTGCCACTTACCCCCCTCCTCCCCACCCCCCGCTGGGCCCTTGGCTGGTCATCCTGGGTCTTTTGGACACACCAACCTCCCCCACCATGAGAGGAGCTTCCAGTGCCACATGGCTCCACGGCCTCTTTGAGGATCACCTCTTCCAGGACATCTGGAAAGAAATCCCACCTCACCCCCTGGAACCTTTCTGGGACTTCCTAGCCTGAGGAAACACGGTGGCTTGGTAGGGCAGCCTCCCATCTGGAACCTGGGTGGCCGGGCGGCCACAGCGAGCACTTGCTGAGCTGCGTGGGACTCAGCTGTCCAGGCGGAGCAGCTGCCCAGACCTACCCCTGCCCGAACCTGTTGTGCCTGAGAGACTGACCTCTTTTGAAATCCGCTAGTGCTTAGAATTCCTGCCCGTTAAGATGCAAATGTCCCCCTCTGGCCAGCCCTGGGGGTCTACTACGCCTATCAGCCCTCACCCCTTGTGCCAACAGCTGGCATGAGGGCGAGTGTGTGTACCTCGACAGCAGCCCCAGGACACTGCCCTCGCCTCCATGGAGCCTGGACGACACTACATCCCACCCACACCCCCGATTAAACTAGACCCCAGAGGAGTGTCAGTAAAACCCCCTGGGGGGTGGGGGTTGGGCGGCAGAGAGGGCTTGCTGCCCTGAAGGTGTGGTCTGGTCTCCCGGGCTCCCCTGTGCCAACAAAGCCGAGGGACCAGCCAGTCCCAGGTAGGACGCACTGGGGCTGAATGGCACCATCAGCCCCAGAACCCAGCAGCAGAGCCACTGCACACAGGTGGCTGTCCTGGTGATGCAGCCCTGGGACAGTGGTCACCAATACCATCTTCATGCCTGGGTACAACAGAACCAAAGGGTGAGCTCGGCCAGTGCCAGGGAGGGCATCCACTCAGCCTCTCCCTGGGTGCCCTCATATTCTGGCCTCCTTAGAGGGTCTGCCCCAGGGGACCCACTTCATCGGCCCCCTCCACCCCGTGGTGCGCACCAGGCCTGCAGCAGACTGGACTGTGAAGGCTTCGGACAGCAGATTTCACACCCACCCAGGCTGTTGGGGCACGGGGCTGGGCACTTGTGGCTGTAAGCTAGTCTCTGGAGGAGGGCAGGGGCCCGGGTCCCTCAGGGTAGAGCTGTCAGTGACAAACACAGACATGAACTGGAACCCTCAGAGGCCCAATGCCAGGAGAGGACAGAGCTCCCCTAGCTGCTGACACAGCCCTCTGGGCTGGGTGGGGCCCCAAAAGACATGGAAACTGAGGAAGACCCAGAACCTTTATTGTCACCGTAAGAGGCACCCAAGGAGCCACAGTTTTTGTCCTGCACCCCACAGGGCTCAGTAAGATCTCTACTCTAGAGACTTGTCCTGAGTCCCAACCAGGGCTGCTGGCGCCACCTACAGGCAGTCCACCAGCTTCCTTCCCCAGGGACAGCTTCCGCTCTCATGCCAGCCCCAGTCTAGATGGGGAGCCAAGACAATGGCAGCCCTTAGGGTGGACTGTCAGGGCTGTCTCCCCTCAGACCTCAGCACCTGGGTCCTCACGGCTGCTGCCCTTGTTCCGGAAGTGATCTCTGCTCCGCTTTTTACTGCCATGGAAACCAACAGTCTCCACCTCCTGGGGGCCTGATACTGACCCACCAGGGGCAGTTCCTGATGGTGTTCCTATTTCTTGCAGGCCCCCATGAGGGCTGCTCCACTCCTCAGACTCTGGGCTCCCGGGTCTGGCCAGGTGGGCCAACTCCACAGGGCCCTCGCCCCCAGCCATACCCGGGTTCCCAGACGTGCCCCTGCCTTGCTCTCTCCCCCTCCCCAGAGCCCTCTTTCTCTCGGGTCTGGCCTCGCTCGTTCGAGTTGGTTTGGTAAAGACAACTCTTCCCTCCCCACAGCTGGAGGGGTCCTGGTTGAAGGAAGGCATGTAGTCGGAGGGGGCAGCCAGGCGCCGGGAGCCCAGGAAGGACAGGGCGGCGGCTCGGTTGCTCTGCTCGCTGGCTTCAGCCACACCTTCCAGGCTGTACTTGGTCCAGCGCTCAGGGTGTGCCACGTAGTCGGGAATAGGGGGTGCTCTTGAGGGGACGGAACCCCGGTGGGTAGTGCCCAGACCCTCAACAGGAGGCTGGCTTGAGGGCACCAGGGGCCGCTTGAAGACTCCACTGTCATTCATGCTGGTTTGGGCCACACAAGGTGGGGCCTGCCTGGCTGTCCCCTCCAGGCAGTCAAAGATGTCGTGGCTCCGCTGGGAAAAGGTGGAGCTCATGCCTCTGAGGTGGAATGGTTGCACTGCAGTTGTGGGGAGGCCTGTGGAGAGTGTTGGGGGTGAAGAGGGCTCATCGGGGCCTGAGTCTTCCTGGGTCTCTCCAGGCAACCCCTCTGGGGACAGTGCTTCCACCTCGGCCCCACCAGGCACGCTGATGTCGGAGTCCGAGTCACTGAGGGAGACTGTGTCGGAAGGCAGGGTGTCGTACTCTGTCCCTTGCTCAGGATCCAAGCAGGTGGAGGGCTCGTCTGTCCCTGCCTCAGCCATGTGTCCTCAAGACGTGACACCTAGACCGAAACAGCCAAGAAATTGATTTCTGAGGAGGAAGTGTTCAGAATAAACCTCTCCTACAGCCCTCTGGGAAAGCGCCAGGAAAGAACTGTGTCCTACCAAGGGATGGGGTCCTGCTCCACCCCTAAAAGCCCTCCTCTCACGTACCTCGTCTGCTGGGTGTCAGTGGCTGACACTGTCGTGCTGACTGGAGAGCCAGGTGGGCAGAGCCCAGATGAAGGTCCTCCGTGACAATGACAAAGGTGTGGTTGTCTTAGCCAGGAGTATTCCAAGTCCATTCCTGTTCACCTGCTCAGCGGGAGCTGGGGGAGGGCTGCAGGGAGACTGTTACCTATCAGACCAGAGCAGACCATTAAGCAGAGGTGCCAGGACCAGGTGACAGACCAGGAATAAGGGCAGAGACTCCTGACCTATCAACAATGTATCCCCACAATCCTCTAGAGGTAGGCTTGGGGGGACTAAGGGCCTACTCCGGGATTTTGGTAGTAAGCTGGGTTGGAACGTGAGGCTGAGAACAACCTCTGCTCCACCTGTCTCAGCCAAGTAGGGGGTTATAAACCGCTTACTGTGTGTGGTGTGCAGGAGGTGCTCCTCGAAGATCAGGCACCTTCCTGACCTGTGGAGAGGACATTTGCTTTTGCTTGCTGGCAGACCCCTGGGAGTTCCAGAAAGATCTACAGCCAAACCCTTGACATCTGAGAGTCAAGCTCTCAGGGACTAAGGATGTCACTCAAGCAGCCTTGATGGACAGAGGCAAGCCCCCACAGATCCTGGAGCAACCCCCAGCAGCCTTTCTCCTGTAACGCCCAACACACTCCTCACCTCTTCCAGCTGCACAGAAAAATGCTGCCGACACCAGTATTCAGTAGTCAACTGTGACCAGGTGTCTTTGAGCTGAGGGGAGCCCAGACTCATCCTTCTGCTCTGTCCTCAACCATCCGTCCACCAACTCCTCCCCAAGCCTCCTCACTCACAGTGACCCATGTCTTGTGCATCCAGGAAGGATGGGGTGAGGCAGACCAGTTGCAACTGAGTGCCCTCTGCCAGGTCAAACAGGCGAAATCCCAATTCCTGGGGGCCCGACTCTCCTCAGGGAAGAAACCACTCCAGGAGAGAGGTACTACACCCCACGGGTGTCTGTATTAGAGCCAGCAGGGCAAGGACGTAAAGGTAACGTGCGCAAGTCACACAATACACTGCAGGCAGAGTTGGAGTTGCAGACTCCCTTTCCCGAACTCGCACTCCCATTTTCTGCACAGGACGCTACGGCGACCAATAGAAACCTGATCGGAGGGACAAGCAGTGGGACAGACAGATTGAAATCAAAGCCACAGGTTCTGAGCGGCAGTCTGTTTCTTGGAGCTCAGCACAGGTCAGAATTAAGTTTGGGCTAAGAGAGGCTAAGGCCAGATTCAAGGAATCAGGAGCACCAACTTCCTTTCTGGTCGTCTCTTCCTCCACTCTGTATGCCCCGCGGTCTCTCCGTGTCGGGGAACGCACACCCTGGCCGTGGGAAGGGGGAACACCTCCTGCAGGCCAGTCTGGCCACGCCGCTGTTTCTCTTTCGCTACGAACCTACCGGCAGCCTCCATTTTGCAGCACCGCCTGTCCGCGCCCACGCTCGGCCCTCTGGGAAAGAGAGTCCTCTGCGGGCCCAGGGCCGCAGCCTTCGCGCTGGAAGAACTACATCTCCCACAAGGCACTGCACCATGGCTGCCGGGGCCTGTCGGGACGTGTAGTCCTGTGCGCATGCGCACCCGAACCTCTTCCGAATCGCTCACTCCCCAGCGCTTGGGTAGAGCCACCGAACAGCCCCGGAAACTGTGGCGCTACTTCGAGAAGCAAGCCGGGAACTAAGGACAGGAAGGAGGGGAGGAGACTGGGCTCGACTCCCAGAATGCTCGAGGGCTAACGGTCACCAGCCGAGGTTTCCGGGGGCCCAGCGCCACCAGCTGTAAGCCGCGAGAATAGCGGCCGCCCGTGGCGGGAAGTGCGTCATCCTGCACGGCGGATGGGAGCTGCTCTGAACTTCCGGTCCTGGTCAAGCGACCTGCGTCGTTACCCGCGAGCTGTCCGCTAGTACCTGGAGCTCAGTGACCTCACAGCGTCCTAGTTCCTCAACTCCTAGGTGGGAACTCAGGACCTCGCAGTCCTGCTCAGCCCAGAGGCCGACCCAGCCAAACATGAGTGCCCGCTGGTGGGCGAGCGGAGCGGTCTGTGCAGACCGCAGGTGCACTGGCCCCCTTGCCGCAGCCCAGCCACGCTTGGCCTTTTTACTTGTGGCTATTACCCCTGGGGACACGGCTCCAGCCAGCCGTCCACTCCTTTTCAAAGGGTACCCATGATGTCCCCTAGGACATTACAGAGAAGCCAGGGCCAG